TTATAAAAGTGGTAGCAGTAGCGGTGGTGGTGGTGGTGGTGGTGGTGGTGGTGGTGGTGGTGGTGGTGGTGCTGGTGGTGGTGGTGGTACTAGTACTAGCACTAGTACTAGTACTAGTACTAGTACTAGTAGTAGCAGTAGTGGTTATGGTGTGGTGGTGGTGGTGGTGGTGGTGGTGGTGGTGGTGGTGGTGGTGGTGGTGGTGGCGGCGGCGGCGGTGGTGGTGGTGGTGGTGGTGGTCGTCGTCGTCGTCGTAGTTGAGTAGTAGTCGCCGTCGTCGTGGTGCCGGTGGTGGTGGCTGTTGTTGTCGTTGTAAGCAGCAGCAGCAGCAGCCGCCGCGGCGGTGGCAGCAGCCGTAGTAGCATAAGAAGCAGTAGTGGTCGTCGTCGTCGCCGTCGGAGTCGTCGTCGTAGTAGTAGCGGAAGCAGCAGCGGCTGCAGCAGCAGCGAGGAGGGAGGAGGAGAGGCATTCCAGTAGCTAGTACTTCTTCTTTGTGCGTCTTACTTGTATCAGGAGCGCTACTGTGCTTTGTCCTCCAATGTCTGTCTTTGCCGGTAGTGCTGTTGATGCCCTATCCATTCCTGCTGTTCAGATTACTGGCGCTGAGAGCGCTATCCGGTGTTACTGCCCATGCTACTGCCCCTGTTGCTATACTGTTGCCGTTGCGATTTTCTGAACAGGTAGTTTGCGCTTGCTATTTTACTGTTGCTAATTTCTCGAGGTATGTTTCACTGCAAACAGTACAGAATGATAGAAGTGTCATTACTTTCTGCGACTGTCTCAAGATATTGTGCTCGTGACTATTACTCTGTGCATGCAGTTGCACGGCAATCAACGCTGTCCTCGTCCCAGGCTTTGACCGGTTCCTGTGACAGTTCGGCAAAACATCCAAGGACTCTGCCGGTCTTGGAAACGGTCAGCTCAACACTTCGCCCAACCTCCAGAAACACATGCGCCACGTCACCATCTTCGTCCTACATGGCCCGCAATTTCACACACACACACACCAGTCATGTGTGAGGTCTGTATGATGCTCACTGCTGACTCACGCACTCCAACTTCCGTGCAATCTTTTGGAGACCTCCAAAAGTGCAGCGGGCGCCGTTGCATCGGCTGCAACTTTTGCCTTCAAGAAAGTGCTCTTTGTGACCGCGAGCTCGGATTCTACCATTTTACACCAATTCTGCTCAGACACCATAAACTCTGCAAGCTGAGTCAGTTCGGCTGTCGAAGTCAGATCAGTACATCACAGAGGCTACGTAGCTTCTGCTCCTCGTACACACCGAGATCCGCAATCCACCCACATACCACTACCGATGCTGTGCTTGATTTCCGCCTCTTCATCACTCCGTGCCACGATCAAGTCAGCCGCACGCGGCAACCTACACCGAAGCCAGGAGGAGTCGTGAAGCCGACAAAACTTCAGAAGCGTGGAGCCGGACGAGTGCGTGCGAAGCAGTGCGAAGCAGTGCGAAGCCGTCTTGTCCAAGCCCGCCCAGCCTGCACTTCGAGTCCTCGCGGCACTGACAGCCAGGGGCCAGGGACAGGAGATACCACAAGAGCCGGAGAATGCCGCTGGAGAGGCTGGCGAGTCGACCCATTCAACCCTAAGTCAACATGCCCCCTTGCCAGCTCCTCTTCTTCAAACATTTTTAAGAAATCGTCCAGCGATGGCCTGTCATGCCAGTGACAAGTCAGCACGATGCAGCACACAGCACACTGCAGCACACAGTGATTGTGCTACGAGTCGTTTGACTTGCCAGTCTGACGCGCCGCCATTGGCGCCACTCTCTTTGGCTGGTACCTGCGGAGAAGGGAAGGAGATGCACCCTCGGCAGCTAAGATCCTGGATCCGGCCTTGTCATTCGTCTTTCCGTTAGCCTGTCGTCCTGCCTTGCCGAAGGGCAAGACTGCACAACTCGAGCCTCTTTCGCTTCGACTTTGGAAACGTGGCCTCCTGGCAAAGCTCGTCCAGGCGCGACAAGCCCTCCATAGATGTTGTGAGTGGGAGGGCACAAGGCTTGCCACAGGGCTGTGTTCAGCTTATCTCTAGATTTCGTTGGGCCCAGGATACCTTAGACGTCAGAAACGATCCGTTGAAAGGATCTCAGGGCGGCATGCATGAGATGTGAGCTACATGTAAGACCTTCAATCAGCTGCGGGTGCTCCAGACAACATCACCAGAGGCACGTGTACGAGTATGACTCCACAAGTATTGAGCAAGCAGACAGGTTGTCGTCTGTTTGCAGCAGGGAAATTTCATCCAGGCCGAGCACAAGAATCCGCTAGAATGCCTTCTGCACAGGAAACCACCCACAGCTCAGCAACTGTGTCTACGGCAATCAACCAGAGAAGTCCAGCACATCATTTGTCTCCAACCCCCGGACATGCATTGGTCTGGCCAGCATGGCTGTCACAACGGCACTGCTCCACGATCCCAACGATGTGTGGCCAATGCTTGCATCTCAAATGGGGGACCATAGTTAGGGTGCACAGCCGCACAGCTCGCCAGAATATTGTTGCCTCGCAACGAGCCGCTTTTCGGCTAACATGTGCCCTGCTACTGCGCGCTGAGTAGCTACTTCTCGAGCGTGGGTCACATGTGACGCCGCAGCTGAAGTCCACCTGCATGCACAGACCTCTACAACCAGTCAGTCTTGGAGGAAAGCACATGCAGCTCCCATGCATCCTGCATGGCATGACAAGCCCTCAGGAACCTCATGCTCCACATGAGGAGGCATCATCATCGCGCCAGCACAAGAAGCACTGGAGGCTCTATAAAGTCTTACAGAGCGAGCTTCAAGGTCTATTTTGCTTCCAGAAGCCACACCTGGGGCCAAGATGGCGAGGTATTCCGGCAAGCTGGCGAGCGGGCCTCCCCCTGGGCCTCGCCAAACGGCATCCATAGCCAAGAAAGCCGGACCTAAAGGCTGAGAGAAAGGTGCCTTCCGCAATGCAGCGCATCGGAAGCTGCGAGTGATCGAAGGCCTGGCGCAAACCCCGAAGCCCGAGGCATCCCAAAAACCGTAGAGCACCCACAGCACTCCCTTGCATGCGCGCTCTCGGCGTACCACGAGGCGGTCGGAGTCAGTAGCGGCATACAGGACCTGTTTCACGAGAAGATCTGACTCAAGTGTATGCATGCGAGAGTGACAGGGGCAAAAGCCGTGTGCCTGCGACCTGCTGGCCACCGCCAGGAAGCGAGCTGGGCCTCCACCTCTCCACAACTCTGCGCCAAAAAACACATCGCCTCCGAAAGCAGAAGCAGCTCTAAGCCCACACACAACCCAAAGGCCGGAAATGGATCTCTGGCTCCGAGCCAGTGATCTTTTTTAGGACAGTTAAGTCACTGCGCACGGATCAAAGCGATGTGAGACTGGCATTGTACTATCTGATTCTATCGACTATCACCACGGATGAAAACCATGCTCCCAGTATCGCCTGCTATGGATATGACATCCGTCCGACAACTAAGTGGCTGATGCAGAGCCAGGTCAGGCTTGCTGTCTAAGGCATGGCCACTAGGTCGCGTCACTTCTGCGACTGCGGGGGCCCGCGCTGGCCCGATTTGCTTCCATGCCCATCCCGACCAGAAGCTGCATTTTATGGCAAAGCTATCAGGACTCCCGTGGTATCAGCCCAAACCAACCCTAGGACCACTATCCGACGGTTTCAGATTTCGGCTACAGGCTTTCAAAACTGACAGGGCTACATTACAAGTGTGGAAACTGCAGCTTAGCTTCAAAGCATGTATTTGGCAACATGCTGAAGGGCGGCTTTGCTGGAAGGGATGCGCAATAGGCCACGTCATGGACTTGCCTATCGATTTGCAGCAGCAGTTGCTGACATCTTTGTGCGGCCTAGTGGCTCAGGCAGGGGCTGGGGTAGGAACAAGACAGAACTTGCAAGCTGTCAGCAACTGGGATTCGGAACAGTCACAGCCTTCGCTGCAAACTCGCATCCTGGCTCCTACGCGCGGTTTGCGTGCTCTGTGCCCGGGTGGACAAGCCGAGAAAGGACACAGAGAAGATCCACCTAAAGCAAGGAGAATGAAGCCATGGCTACGATTTTCTTCCGAGCTGGCTTCGAGGTGGGTCTTTGAAATCTCTGTGTCATGCAAGGCAACCGAGCCCAAACCGCCAAGTAAAAAACAAACACACTCACTCACGATCGTCGGCGGTATCGAATGGGATCGAGTGGCACTGAACATCAATGCACGTCAGAATGAGAACTTGGTCGACCGGCTTGGTCGAAATTGCACGACGAAAGGATGCTTTGGGTGGTTTGTTGTAGCGCAGATGCCAACGCCGGTTCCAGAAAATGGATGTGAAAATGGAACTTCGCACTCCACGCGACCCCAGGCTCTGCGACCCTCCATGTAAGCTCAGGCATTGTGACTCGATACGAGGAGCATCCGGTGCGCAGGGCTGAGGCATCAAGTCTTGCTTGGCGAGGCGACCCTAGCTAATTCGATGCCTGGACATTCTACGCCTGCAATTTAAAACCCCGGGTGGCCGAGCATGAACGACCCGGGTGTTAAATGTTGCGAAGCCGAGCTGCATCTGCTGAACGGCAGCTGGCAGGAGACACGGATTGTGCAACTAGTTGCAGAATTCGAAAAAGCCACTGGCCTCTCTCGGCCAGGTGCTAAATAGCTCCTGCCTGGTGGAAGGAATCCACAGTCCCTAACTTTGTGATGCCCGGAGTGAAGCTTCCGACACCTAGATGTCCATGAATACGGAGTGCTTCGAAAGCAGACGGGCAGTGAAAGGGTCTGCGGTCCCCGTGATCAAGTGACTGCAGCAGGAGTGGCGCGGCGACCCCGAGTCCCAATGCAAGACAAGGTGTCCTGCAATGGTTTGTTGCGGCCACCTTCAGCCACCGTGTTGTGCATAAGCTGCCAAGAGTTGCAGCAGTCTGGCGCTCGGGGGTGCCCGCCCTGTAGTGAACATGTTCGGTTTCCTGCTTGATACTTGGATGGCACCCAAAGTATCTGGTGATGTAGTGACTGCGGCGTGTCAGTCTGGTCTCTCAACGGGCATGGCCAAGCAACCGACACATATATATCTAGATGGTTCTGGCGCATGCTAGCTTGCTTCAAAGATGATCTCAATCCGCCTCTGCTCGCTAAAAATCCTGCGAGCACCACCCGAGCACGTCAAGTAATTTAACATTTGCAAAACTCCGATTGAGAAGATCTCTCCAGCCACCGTCCTGACATCGCGGTGGAACGGATATGTGCAAGATCCGAAAAACTGTTGGCCGAATGAGCCAAACTGCGTCAAGCCCACCCCAAGCAGTGTCCAACGAAGCTTCGCAACTCGCGGCTAGAATAAATTCGGGAGAAGCTTCGGCACGCAAGATATGCTCATCAGCCGAGTGCAAACATTAGCACACCTCCTTGCGAGTAAAACAGCGTGACGGCAGCTCTATCGAGGCTTCCTGCTGCTCTCTGCCGCTGAACTCGAAGCAGCCAAGAACGTGCTGCTACAGGAATTTTGGACTTTGTCCAAGTACCACTGCAGCAGCTTTCTGTAGCACCCGAAAAAAAACACCAGCTACCTTGCAGAATAACTAGCTCTTATGGCTCTTAGCGGCAGGTCAGGAGCAAAGTTAGAGCTTGCTCGCAGGAGGGCGCTAGTCAAGAAATGTCGGGTCGCACGACCTTGGCGAACAAGGGGGGGCTGCGGCTGCAACAGGAAGAAACAGGAAGCACGCCCCGAGGTCTGCGCGCTTTTCGACCGACCCGCTTCAGCACACTGCCTCAGATTCAAGCACAACTTTGGGCATGAGGCCTAGGATGGCCTAGGGCACTGCAGGAAAGCGCCTTTGACAGTTAAGAACCCGGGCCCGCGGCCGGCATTGCGTGTGTCCCTTGGTTCATCGACGACCCTGCCGTGGACTTAGCAAGGCTGTGGTTCTGCTGGGGGATCGTGCTGCGTTTCTGGGCGACTCCCTGCCGCCCTTGAACATTCCCGAGAGCTCCTGTTTTCTTGCAAGAGTGCTCGACTTGCTCGGTACGACTTTCGGAAGAGCTCTGTGTCCGTCATTGTGTTGGGGTCGCTCGAAAGGCTGGCACGCTTGAGATTAACGGCAGGTTTGGATCCGCTCGAAGTCCCTACCCGCACTACCCGACCCTCTGAAACCAGCCGGATCTGCAAATGATCGTGCAGCATTCGTCGCTTGAGGATAGGCCTCAGCCAGGACCTGGGCAGCAAGACAGGCCGACAGAGACACCTCGGCAGGTCCTTAGCTGCACAAAGGGCCAGGCCGATCCTCCATGCCTGGCGCAGGGAGAGTCTCGCTGTCTCGCTTCCACGCTTTTCAGCCTTCTCTCGAGCCTCCACGCCTGACCCCGGGGGGCCCGACCTTTCCGAACACCTCACAGTCGAACGGCAGTTGAAGTGTCAAGCCGCTTCTTCAAGGCTTGCACTGCTTGCAGGTGTGTGAAATGACAGCTCGATCGAAAGACAGCAACTGATTCAAATCAATTCCCTTCTGAGCGTAAGCCAAAACTACCCAGGTCCCAGCACGACAGCTCACAGCCGCGCCACGGGTTCACTAAGCTCCTGGCTTGTCTCAGCAATCACCTCATCTCCAAGCAGATAACACAGACACCAACAAGTAAGGTCATCCCAAGTTCGTGGCAGAAGGTGGGCTTGCAATGGTTTCGTCACCTCGCCAGACGGTCAAAGCCACAAGCTGCCGACAGCCAGAAGACTCCGTGACATGAAAGAGCCCCAACGGAGGCCACTCTTATATCGGCTGCGTCACGGATTCTACTTTCTGCCCAGATCCGGCCTTCATCATCTGGGTTCATGTCCATTCGATTCATCCGGACTCGCTGGATGTGCTTCAGTCCCTGCAGCCAGAGCCAGGTCCGTTCAAAGCCGGCATCTCCCATAGCAGCCCACGCCCTGCCTCCAGCCTTCTTCGCGCTTTACTGCGAAGGGATTCCAGCTCCTCCCTTGCCTCTGCGACAGCAACCCACCAGGCCCTCCAGCCAGAACCCTAAACCCTAAACTTAAGAGCTGCGAGGCTCGTGCAATTCCCCCCGAGAAGTCCGGGAGCCTCATGGCTCGGGTCAGTGAGTAGCTCCAGTGCCCGGCCCAGCCGGAAGGGGCCCAGCTTGCAGCGCCTCAGCTCTCTCCTAAGAGCTCTAGGAGGGACCCTTAATAAGTAGGGAATGGGGGAATGGATCCCCATGATAGTCCCTTAAGGTCCCTTATAGTAGTCCCTATAACCCATTCCCCCATTCCCTACTAAGCACCAGACAGCTTTCTTCAGTTCTCTTATAGCTCAGCTCCGTCCCTGCTCCGTTTCTTGCCTTTTTTGCCGAGTCATTTTGCTTCCAGCTTCCGCCACCCTTGCGGCCAAGAGACTTCATGTACCTGGAAGACAGGATATATCGCGAATCTCATCCCACGCTGAACGCTGGAAAGCGGCTGAGCACCCATCGTTTGTGCGGGCATGTACAATGCATCAGACATGGGGTGCCACATGTATTAGAGGAGTCAAGCTCTCGGCGCACGAGTCCAGCGCCTTGATATCTGAAACCGTCAGCTCATGGCCCATAACATCAAAGTTCCAAGTGCTCAGCACCTGCGCAAGCTATCTGCTCAGAAGCCATGGTTTTGCCGGCGGGACTTAATGTTTGCACGGACTCAACCAACGACTTCGATGTAAGCCAAGATGTTCTGTACTATGCTCAAGAAGAGGAGCCCGTCCCAGACTGCTCTGTGCAAAAGGCCTGCAACACCATGAAGGGACCATCAACGAGCTTGGCCGGTTCACGCGCATCACACCCAGCCACCTGGCGCGGAAGGCTCTGTCGCTGGAACTCTCTTTGAGACAGGAGTCATTAAATGCATCAAGCTTGCTGCTGAAGCTATGCTCTTTTCCGCAAAGGCGAAGGTCGTCGGCGATCTGTACGCTTTGGCACAGAACTTGCAGATGGGCGGCCACGAATCAGATGGGTAGAACAGGCTCCTCATAGCCTGACCATGTTACTTTACGAGCGCATGGCATGAAGACGGCTCAGCAGCCGCAACAGGAAGATGGAAGGGAAATGGTGTGAATTTGCCGTCGCAGCAGCCTGCGTTTGGAGGGCTGACCTGCGCTTTTCGGGGTGCATTTAGTGGGTTTGCGCCGCTCCTACCAGCTTCTTGGAGCTGTGCGCTGTGCCGGCCTGCCGCTCCTGAAAGCGCCAGCGTCGCTCTGCCGATGACCAAACATCTTCCTCCACTTGGGTTTGGTACAGCTCAAATATAACACTCGAGCAAGCGATTGACCCTTCAGGATTTTTTGAAAGCCAGGCCTGCAACCTTGATGCCTGCAAGTTGAAACATCCAAGTTCGATGATGCGCGTGAAAGTGGCGAGACAGTCCTCGGCTTTGTTCACGAGGTCCGTGATGCTGAGCGAACGTCCGCCAATGTCCCTGGGCTTCAGAGTAGCATGTCTCGGCTGCCCCTGTATGCTAACAGAACCCACTGTCAGCGGAAAATCCCTAAACCCCGGCCCTGCAAGGCTAGAGAGCGCGGCAAAGGTCGGCCACCCATGCGTGGGTTCAAGGAAGTGACCTGTCGGAAGTGCAACAGTCTCTGCGTTGACTCTGCGGTCTTTCACACTTCCACTCTGTAAGGAAATGTGCCTGGGACGCCCAGCGTACCAGCTGCACAGAGACACGCTTTTCAGGCCTGAAGATGCATCTCGCATAGGGCTTGACTGGAAGCATCGAAGAAGCATCTTTCCTGTGGACTCGTCTGTGGCTCTACAGACTTTGGTGGATGCATCCAAGCGGCATCCTCCATATGACCAAATCCTCTGCCCTCGCTGCATGGGGAATCAGTGTCCCTAGACTAGACCCGACATCTCGCAAGCCGATCTCGACCAAGGTGCAACTCCTCCTCTCTGAAATACTGTCCGAATTTGCCTCGGATTGCACCCTACTTCCGACGGCCGCCGTGTTGTAAGATGACAGCGCAGGGGAAGTGATGTTCGCAAAAAACTGTGCAAGCGGCTGTTTGCCCATGGAGCTAAGTTTACAGCTGCCAATGAGCCCGCCCAAAGTTTCCAATTTCCACACAGAGACCCTTGAACAGCTCTTGCTTTTCATCTACTGATACTGAAGCCAGAACCTCGATACAGAGTGCCAAGAGGCTGGTGGCCTGCTTCCGTAAGCCAGCTGCGGCGATGGACAATGCCCCCTGTGTTCGACTTAGCTTTCGAACTTCACGGTATCGCGGCCTTGCAACGGGTTTGGGTCTCGGAAGTACTGGCCTCAGACACCGTCCGAAACATCAAGATCCTCGCCGGGGCGGACCAAATCCAAAGCCTCGTCAAGAGTGACTATCTGCAGCCTGTAAGGCCCCGAGCTAGCTCTCCAGGAACTTCAGACACCAAGATAAATTGAAAGAGCGAGGCGCCACCAAGGGATTTCCTCGCAGCCGAACCTGTCAGCAGTGATGGGCACTCTACCATTGCCCTCAAGACTTCTGTCCGCCTGGTGTCCACTTTTCCCGGTGAGACCGCATGTGCGAAGAGGTTACCTCAGCAGAGTAGCCCTCTGGCCAGTGACCAACTGCGACACCGGTTTTCGACCTACACCTCCCACATACCAAGGCACCCTTCAACGCGAGGCTTTGAGAGCGGACGGAGGTCCACAGCAGCAAAGCACGCCTTAGCTGGGTTCGCGCTCTTGTCTCCTACAACGCTCCACGAAGAGTCGAAATTCACAGAAGACTCGAGAAGACGAGCGTCTTTGAATCTGCATACTCGTGACTCGTGGTTTCTCGCCCACCTTCTGGCAAGCAGCACTCCAGCCAGAGTCTGATGCAGCAGCCCCTGCTTCCTTCCTTACCCTTCCCCTTCCTTCCCCTTCCTTCCCCTCTTCCTTCCCCTCTTCCTTCCTTCCTGCCTTCGTTCCTTCGTTGCAACTCTGTAACTAGGTCTAAGCTCCTGTCACACGAGAGGAGCCACCCGTGCTCGATTCAACATAGCCTCGGTGCTGCAATACTCGAGGCGTAGAGTCGTAGAGAACAAGGCAAGACCCTAGGACCGGACTCGGACCTTTTCAGGTGGGACTCGGACTTTTATATACTATAAGACACTACAATATACTATAACACACTATAATATATTATAATATACTATAATATACTATAATATACTATAGTATACGATAAGATACTATAATATACAATTATATACTCTAATATACTATAATATACTATAATATACTAGAATATACTAGAATATACTAGAATATACTATAATCTAAGCCCACGCCTGCCAAAGCCTCCAAGAGGGCTTCGTCCAGGTTGGACTCCGACTCGTGGCCGCTTGCCACGTTGATGACACTGGCCGGGAAACAGGGCCCGTCCTGTCCCAAAAGAGACCCGGACGGGGAACGTTTTTGGTTTAGGGTTTAGGGTTTGGGGTTTGGGGTTTAGGGAACGTTTTTGGTTTAGGGTTTGAGGGAAGTCGAAGTCGGTTTTGAGAGACGAGGGGCCGTTTCTCGGAGTCTGCAAAGCATTTCCGTCAGAAGGAAAGGGCCCAAGAAGTTCACCTGCCAAGTTCGGCTGACACCTCGGCCACAGCTTTGGGGCATCCCGATTCTAGCACAGCATCTTTGCATATGAGTTCGTGTGACCCGAGCTGCGGGCCGTACTTGGTGTGTGGTGACCTTTCCTTCTCCTGAAATCTTCAGCAGACCCAACGCCGACTGGTCTGTGACAGGTTCCAACCATGTGCAGGCTTCTAAGGCCGTCCTTGAAGCCGGCGTTGTTTACCAACATGCGCAAACCTTCCTGTCCACCCTTGAGGAAACTGTCTGCTTCAACCTAAGTGCGTAGCAACGCTCTCATAGTCTCCCTTTGCTCTCAATCCTCTCTTGTTCCCGACATCCGAGGCGCAGCAAAGCGTTGCACGGAGTCCAAATCTAGGAACTCCAACGGCAGCACTCCTCGAATCTTCGAGGCGTGAAATATCTTGAAGTGAACACAAGGTGAGACACTGGCACACTTCTGCAATTTTCTGCGTGGGCTTCATCCAAGGCTCTCATGCGACCTTCCTCGCGCTCGATCTCATGCTGGCAACCCAGGAGCACCGAAATGGATGGATGCTGGCTAAGCAGGCGTGCCAGCTCCTTCACACAAAGACCGCCTACATTAGCCAAGAGATCACCGTCGCGAACCCTTCTGTCCTTGCCGATGCCGGTGCCAGCTCCTGTGATGACCACGCGCCCCTGACGGCAGGCAGCCGTCACCGCGCTCTTGTTATCAGATGCTTTACCATGTTTCAGACCTCGCGGCCAGCAAACTCCTCGAGCAGCTCCTTGAGCCTCTGCCGAGCCGCACGGCCACGGAGGTGGGCGCCCTGCGAAAGGGGATCCCAAGACACACAACCATCTACTCAAAAAGACGACTCCGCCCCTTGAGCGCACCAGGATGGCCGCCGCAGCCGCCAGACCCAGGAACAGCCAATCGCCCCGCGTCATGGGATGTCATGGGCTTGGGATCTGGCTACAAGAATGTGCTGCAGGCATTGGCCAAAGTATGTGGGCTGCCATGGCCCATGCCTTTTGATCTTGGAGCACGATGAGCCTTCGGAGTCTCCAAAATCTTGGTCGGGGCTCTAGCTTCCGTTCATGAGGTGTTGGGCAACTAGATTTGTCCTGTGCCAGTGACATGGACTCTTGAACCTTGAGCAGCTGCTTCCTCTAGTCCAGTACCCCTTGCAGATCATCCAGCCATCAATCAACACACCTCGCTGGGCAATGCACGTGTGACACCGCATGCCAGAAACTCGCGCAGCTAAGTGCACCTTCCTAGCACAGACCCTCCCTGCCACAGGGATTCCAGTGCCTGCAGCTTGAAAGGAGGGTACGGCAGAAGCCGAATTGGAAAGTGGCAAATTGGACAGACCTGCAACAGCCGTCGAGTCGTGAGGGGCACTGAAGCGTGCCAACGTCTCCAACCTCTGGAGACTCCATCCACCACCTGGAGCCCGAAGCGGGGCATGCGGTGCTCTGCAAGGACTTGCCACGTCCTCCCAGCGACAAGTTATCTCTTCAGGTGCCACAAGTTGTGAGCTTTTGCTAGAAGGGGGCTCGCAGCCGCCGCATGGTTCCGGTTACTTAGAGTTGGGGGCTTCAATGACCTCGACGTTGCTGAAACGCTGTTTTCGGCCCTGACGCTTTCTCTGGCGACTTCGCCTTCGGACAGTCGGCAGTACTACTGCAGCACTGCCGTTCGTCAGCACTGTTGTCAGTTACAGAATTCCGCAGAGCACCTCGGGCCAAAGCATGCAGTTGGCCAGCTGAAGGGCGCCGGAGCATTGTCCGGACAGGCAGGCCTTGTGCTCTCGGATAATCAGCAGAACTCACCACCTCTGCAGCAGGGAGCAAGAAGATCGGCAGATCTTGTCGAGGACAAGTTGGCCACCAACACTTCACCGGCAGGCTGCACCAAGAGATACGGTGGCCGGTGGCTTCAGTGATGCATGCCCGGATGTCCAGTGTGTTACGCGCTTGGGGTGAGAACTGCGTAGACTGCACTGAGCCGCTGCGCTGCCGCTCCAGCGCCGGTCGCCAGGACCTGGCCACGGCCCAAGCAACCGGCCACCTGACAGCCAGACAAGCTCTTACTTACGTCCCTGAGGACTCTAGCACGACAATTTCAAGCTACCGTACCTCCACGCCCAAACGTTGGGCTGCTGCTGCATCCCCTCCGCTCTCGCCGAAGAGAGCCTGACCTGGTCATTTCGCGAGGGCTTTGCATTGTCGTCGCATCTTCATCCAAGCGGCCACGGGCTCGGTCGGAGAAGAGCAGGCAGCCTCGGGGTTCGCGCGCAGTCTCGCTGCATTTCGCTACGACGCACAGAAACGCAAACTTCGGCCGGCGACCCGAGGAGACGTTGGGCCCACCAGGCCCCGGAGAGGAGCAGGCGGACTCCAGTGCTAGACGCTGCGGGAGGAGGCGCCTTTCTGCGAATTGCTGGGGACATCTTCTTGGGAACTTCATATGCAGAAACCTGATGATGATATCAACTCTGGGAGAACATCGTCTCTCAACTCGGGGTCCCTTGAAGTCAAGGTGCAACTCCTTCTCGGCTGCATCACGATGTCCTTGTCTGTATCGTCTGTGTTTCTTGCTTCAGCTCTCTTAGTGGAACTCTTCAGTGGCTGCTGCCGCTGAAAACAAGAATCGAGAACTCTGTCTGCACGAAGTATGGTGTCAATACCGGCCGAGCATCTCACCATCATCTGCATCTTGGCACCAACTCTAATCGTAGTGCCCACAACTTCTACCGCCTGGGAGTCCTCCACACGACGGGCGGGACGAATCTGGCTGACGCATCCTGGATTTCGAATGCTGACCTTGGCCGTTCACAACTGTGATTAACTTCCAGGTGACCTTGTTGCTCAAGCCTCAGGCTGTCAGAACATGGCTTCGAGAGAGAAGCTGCTCATCCAGAGTGCACTCGCGAATCACCTCTTCACGGCATGCCGCATCTCGAAGTGGAGCACATCGCCACTGAGCTCAGGTTGCTCAGCGAGGTGCTACGAATCTCACTCTGATCCGCCTCTCGCAGCTTGGCCCATGCCGGCACACCATCCAACCGCTCCTGAGACAAGATGCAACCACCGCCAGAACCATGACAAGATCTCATCATGAAGCCATGACAGTGCCAACTAAGCCAGATCTCGATTACATTCTCCGTCCGTTGTCGAGAAATCTCAAGCCACGGGCCCAAGCTACGCATACCGTTGCAACATACCGCCTGTCGGGTCACAGGAATGGTACGTCTCGGAGTTTTCAGACCAATGTAATGGCAGTGACCATGTGCCTGTAGGCGAGGGCCACGCAAAAGAAGTGCTAGCGCCCCAGAGCCCCAGAGCTTGACCGAGCCTGTGACGGTGTCACAATGCAACACTTGCACTGGGCAACGGCAAGAAATGGCGTCCGGGACATGTCTGGCAACGCAAGGCAGTCCACTGCAAGAGAGGTGCCACAAGGCCCGGCTGGCCAACCACGCTGGGTGCCAGCAGCACAAAGCGATGGTGACTCACTGAGCGGAGCTGCAACGGTGCCGACCTGCTCGCTTTTGGGGTCTTCATGAAGTGTCCCTTGCAACAGCAGAGTGACAAGGGCTCTCTGCCATGCACTCCGAGTTCCTGACCGTGGTCGCGTCCGGGTACATAGAGCAAATACCTGAAGCTGCATGCAAGGCACCTTTTGCGGAGAGGCTCGCAGGCTGCCAAGCCACAGAGGTCAATAAGACACAAGTCGAGACACGGCTGGCAGCTGCTTCCGATGCCTCCAAACTGTCTGCCAGGATGACGGCTGCCGTCACTTCGCCCAGCTCCTGGCAGTCCGCAGCCTCTTAGCCTTAGCCGCCTTAGCCTTCCCGAGGAGAAGGCGGCCGGGCCCCATGAGACCGAGGAAACTTCTGAAACCCGTCACTCCCTGAACTCAGACTGGCCTTGCCTCGAACCCGAGATCCTTGTCTGCACCTATAACCATTGGCAAGGCACCACAATGTTGGAAGAGTGCCAGTGACAGGGCATTCCCCTTCTCCAGTTCGATTGGCTTTGGGGGACTCAAGCTTCCCCAGATCCGTCTGAGGCGTGCCATGATTCGCCCGAACCAAGACGACTGCCGCTCCCGGCTGCACCCGATGACCCCGTCGACCAGACACACAATGAGAGGAATTCCGAGCTTTCCGGAGAGGGCCGCAGTTGCCTCAGCAAGGCCACCGGCCTGGTTCAGCAGTTCGATCCCAAGGAAGGCAATGCCGGCCTCAAAGCAACCAGAAGGAGCCCGCGAGCACCCTTCCAGCACCTCCTTCCAGGTTCCTTCAAGGGCGGTGCTCCAGAGAACTGGCCGCGATCGCTCCGATGGGCCGAGGTGTCCGGGGTGCTTAGACGAGGCCTTTCTCAAAGTTCGCTGCCGCGCTCTGCCTGCCCGAATGCCGAGCGGCGCCAGCAGAACAGCTGTTACCTTTGGTGGCCAATGGCATTGCTGCTTTCCCGCTTGCTTGCCGCGCCTCCTTGTCGCGTGTGGCCCAGATGCAGGGAAAACCGAAGCAGTGGCTCGGCTGAGCTGCATCTAGCAAGTGCATACAGAGCTGATCGTTCCATCTTAGCTCGAGCTTAAACGCTGCAGCGTCACGGTGAGATGCTTCCACCTTAGACAAAGAACCTTCGCAAATGGAGACTAGCAGTGAGATGCGCTTCCATCTCTTGTTTGTCAACTTTCCACCCGGCCTTTGCCCTTGGGGCTATGATCCAATGTTGACGAGGAGTCCTCACAGCCGCACTGCTCTATCGCAGCCGGCCTTCTTTCTCTCAACTCTCAAGAATTCACAGACTGCCGCAGACTTCCACCGAAGAATTCACCCAGCCTTCGTCGTAATCATGACCTGGCTCTAAGCACCGACATGCAAGGTCGTGTAGACTGCAGCGTCGTGTCATAAGCAACCACACCGAACTGGAAACGACAATGCTAAAAGAAACATGACTCCAGGTTAGCAAAAAGACGAACCTCTGACATCGTCGACGGCGAAGAGAGTATCGTCGCAGCTGCCTGGAAAAGTCGCAGCACTCCGCGCTCGCCAGCATAGGCTCGCAATGTCTACCAAGGTGCAGGGCACTCAGGGCACCCCTAAGACTTAAGCTATCTGGCCGCCCTGCGCCCTGCAAGAGAAGTAACCCGCCTTGCAGTCAGGTACCACTGCGAAATCGGCACCTGTTCAAACGTTCTACGAAGTGAGAAACAGCGCTAGACATGTTGTTACCTGTGGCCCATTCAGTGCTCTAGAACGAAACTTAGCCGTTGTCCGAAACTGTGCAATCCGCAGCGTTGAACCAACCCGGTGGGCGGACCTTGATAGAAACTGTGCTGGTAGTATGTGCCTGTTGAATACTCCCACCGCTGATTTTCATCTGCCTGAGACAGAGCACAACAGCTGAGCGGCGTCCGTTCTAAAGCTCCAACAAGCTTCTGGCCATGGAAAGACCAGCCTCCATCTCCTGCTCCTCGTAGTCAAGTGCACACTTTGCCTCGAAAGTACCGATCTTGCAAGTGCAAATGGCACACAGGCACGCAAGACCCCGGGGCTCCCGACTGGGAGCTGACGCGGAATCGGCTGGAGTTCGAATCTGTCGCCTGTCTTCCGGACAGGCACAGCTCTTCGAGATTGCCGTGCTTGCAATGAAAGTGGGCTCAGGACACTTCTGACAGGTTGGGGAGGCTCGGGGAGATTGACGAAGCATCTGCACTGCTGTACGGCCAAGGTCCCTGCACATGGCATGCTCTAGCGTGATGACTGGCAGTTCTGGTGGTAGGGGAAGTGCTTCATGCATCTCCTGACGAGTCGTCGCGCAAAGAGAGGCTTGATTCGGGTCCAAGCCGGTCCTCTTCCCGCTGAGCCAGCCGAGAGGGAAGAGAGTGAGAGCCTGAAGCTCGCTTCGCGCGAAACAGATCAAACGCAAACTAATGCTGAGATTCGAACGTAAACGGCTGCCACCCTTGTTCGACGAGACATGAATAAAGGTATTCCTGCACCGAACACACTCGGAATGTGGCCGAACAGCGAACGACAGCAAGTCCGGCAACGGAGAAACTCACATGTGTGGAGGTTTGCGCAACAGCACAAACACGACATGTGAAGCCGCTCACCTGTGGTTTGCAAGGATAGGCCCGTATGTTTTGCAAATACTGCTGTGTGATGCAACGATACTCTGCCTCACATCTTTTGCATGAACCTAGGCTCGTTCAGGACTCTGCACGACAAGACAGCCAGCACTCCTGACCCGGCATTGCAGGTCCTCTCCAGCACGGCAGCTCCACTAGAGAAGCAGAAAAAGCATCGCAACTGCATGCTCTGAAATTGTCATCTGCCTGTGCAGGAACAGCATTCCCTACTTCTCATCACTCCTGGCCACAGATCAACTGGAGTCGCAGGTCTGTCGGAGTCGCACAGGGTCCACCGGCAATCTGGCACCTGTTGCTGCAAAGACCAAGGTAAGACAAGAGAGGCTAGTCAGAAATGGGAATCTGAGCAGCCCTGTGGCAATGCAGGACGCACAGTCCGTCATTAGACACCTTCTGCAAGAACTCAATAACATCATGTGAAGCATAGTACATAGTATGACCTGTAACTGTAACATATAATACGTGGACGTCATAGGTAACAGATAACAGAAAAATGAAAAACGGCCTCGCTATGGCAGCTCCAGCTCGAAGCTCCTTCGGCTGCGGCGACTCAAGGCACCACCCCGCGATTTCAGGGTCCCGAAACGAGTTTAAGGGTTTTGGGGGTTTTGGCTTAGGGTTTAGGGTTTAGGGTCTAGGGTTTAGGGGTTTAAGTTTAAGGGTTTAGGGGGTTGTTGGCTTAGGGTTGCGGGTTTACTTGTGGAGTGGTGCTGCCCAGTGCTGCTTACTGAAGCCAGGGTTTCTGCGAGATGGGCAAGAAATGGTTCGCAAGGGTCATCTATCCCAAGCAGGTTTCGGTCCTGGCTGTGGCTCTGAGTCCCGGAAACTGTGCCACACGTTTGCAATTGCTCTGTTGAAACAATTGCTTCTCGTACTGGGGCTCTGTCAGTGCCTTAAGAACAGGTTGTTGCATGGTGCATGCAAAACAAACAATGGACGACTGTCTTGGTTGTGTTTAGCAGTGCACCAGGACTTTGACCAAGCCCTGGTGCACCTATGCGTTTGAGCTTCTGCGGGAAGCGGGGCGACCTGAAGCCCAGGAACTAATGTTTGAAGCCGAACCCGAAGCTCCACCGCCGGCACATCCTAATCAAACCCGCTTGCTCCGCCTGTAAATCCCTCTCGCAGCACAGGAACCCTGCTCCCTGCTATGCAACGTACGAGGCATGTTTTGTCTTTGTCTGGCAGAAATGGCTTCCTAGCTACAAACAAGCCGAAGCGGAGCTGAAAACTGCCCAGCTCGCCTTTTTTGTTGCATCTGGTGCAACCAACAGGAACGTCAACACCGCCCCCGCCCTCACCCCAAATCTGTAGAACACTACGAAACAAGCTACGAACGCCGCCGGGTGATTCTTGGTCTCTTTGGCCTACGTTCAAACCTTCCAAGACGACAAAAACGACTGCCCTGGCTTCCACCATGAAACCCCCCACAGCTGCAGTCCTCTGCCCAGAAACTGAATTGCCGAAGCGGACGCTCCACGAAGCCGCCGGGCTGCGGGCCCTGACTCGGCCAGAGTGCAGAGTCGAAGGATGCCGAGGATGCCAGTTACTGCCCAGAGAGCCCAATACCCCTTAATTAAGGAATATAGGGGCCTTAATCTTATGATTTAAGGTATATTCCTTAATTAATGGGTATTGGGCTCTCTGGGTGTGTCTTCTGAGGCAAGGACTCCCGGCAAGGTCTTGATCAGCCTGTCCGAAGAGGCGCGGGACCCGAGAAGAGGCACTGCTGATGGATGCCCCTCTCCAAGGGGTCGCCGCGTGAAAAGTGCATGGCACAATCTCCTAAAGCCTTAAAGCCAACTTTATAGAGCAGCAAAGGGCCTCAGACACTGCAGAGCCGGAGCAAGCAGCCAAGTGCCAATGGCACTCGCATCTATCATGAGGTTCCTGAGCCGCATGGCCCGGATGATGGGACACACTCTGGAATGCTTGCGTGCCACCTTCTATTCTAAGTGTGGCTATCATGACGGAAGCGAAAGTGAGAGCTGCTAGTATGGCTTTGAAACTCGGTGTGGATGTCTCGCGATCTCCCTGGGCCGCTTGGCGGAGAATCTGGGATGCTGATGACCTCGTGAAAGCGGACCTTGGATGATTGTGTCAAGAAAGCGGGGGGAGCAAGGTAAGAACCGGCTAGGAGATGAAAATGACAGAAATGGCTGCTTGTTCTATCCCGGTCACATGAAAGCGCTTGTCGAATTTCTTGATGATCTTCCTCACCGCGGTCCGGTTTAGCTCCTGGAATCCATCTGCCCACAGATGCGGTAAATGTCAGACATCATGGAATTGGCCAGCTTAAGGTTTGGATGGAAGACTTCTGCTGATGATGCTAGTTGCACAGGACACGGTGCTCAATGACTGAGGTGGCGACAACGTAGCTCTTGAAGTTCTGGATAGAAGCCACCATGGTCTCAGCCATGTTCACACTGACAAGCGCATTCCTGGGCGGTCAGGCACGAATGAGCTCACAAATCTAGTATGCATGCGAGGATCAAGAGGCGACATCTGCACCAACCTGACCAAACGTCTGGCCTGGATGAGACTCTAGTCGTCTCAGCAGCTGAGTCATGGGCTGCCGAGCATTGGTCGGTAAAATGTCAACACCGTCACAGACCACCTGGATGCTTCAAGCCAGCATGGCTTGGAATCCACAGCAAGTGACAGACATCGCACAGCCTTGCAAATGTCATCCTGCTGCCTCTGCACGAAAGCGTGAACCTCCAGTCTCGTTGAAGCAAGCGGCCGAGGCCAAACAAGACAGCAAGTCGACGCTTAAGCTTTTAATTGCTCCCACTCGCCAACAGCGCAAAAGCAGCTTGCCAACTGCAGATGCCGATTGGCCTTTGTCAGTTCCAATTCCAGGAGGTCGCAGAAGGCACGCACTGCCTCGAGGCTGACAAGTAATGACTGTCCGAGCATTGGCCATATTGGCTATGACCAGAGCATGAGCTCACGGCCGTGTCCTGTTCAAGCTTCAGCACCTCTCTTCTCAGGTTTCGCACACGGCGCAAACATGTGCAAACTTAGTGTGTGCAGCACTGCCTTCTTTAACATTTTGTAGTCCACATACTGCCTGGCATCTAGGATCATTTCCACTGTTCGCTTGCATGTCCTGCAACTCTTGCGCAGCTTCCAGCAGATGATGATCTGCGGAGGGAAACGTGCCAGATGGACTGCTGCCACTCCTCACGCAATTCCTCCTGTAGCCTGCGCATCAGTGAATATCAGTGATGGCGGACCTCTCTACAGATGATAATGACGCACGTGCACGTCCCTATTCGTCGCAGCATGCGCGCTTACAATCTTTCTGCCCACCAGCAGCGGCAGGACAACGAAGCAAAAGCACCGAGCTTCCCGCGTCTTTGCAAACTTCATCGCTGATGATGTCGAAGTTTGTGCCCGATGGCCCAAAAAGGAATCATGAAAATAATTACAGCTTGGGTCGACTTCGCTACAAACCCTACCATGCTCTGCTTGTTCCCAGTTCTCATAACATTACACAGCGTTGTTGGGCGTTACGCTTCCCACGCGAACTGCTAGTAGCTAAACTTTCGTAGCTGTATAACCAATGGCTCTATCGGCATTTTGTGGCCACCGGGCATCAAGCGCAAACAAGAACTTCACCTCAGCCATTCAACTTGGGCAGGGAGCCACCGAGCAAAATGCAAGACCGGCTGCCATGTATCCGAGCTCCCAACAGTCTCAGCTTCTTTTGGGATCAGCAAACTAACCAATGTCTGCCAAGTCCCGCTGAGACGGCTTCAGCAAGATTGGGGCAAAGTGTCCAACGACAGCGTCGCATCATGTCAGCCGTGCATCTGGCTTTCTCTTACCGGTTTCGAAGCAGGGCTCGGCGTATCGTTCTGGGTCTCAGGAAGTGAATAGCTGCTCTAGTCTTGCAACCGAAAACCACAAGCACTGTCAAAAGCCAACCTGGTTGCAGCTCCACACGGGCTATCCATCGGAAGGAGCGGGTACCCCAGACGTGGATAGACCTCAAGAAGTCTGCCGCCAGGCCACTAATTAGTCTGCTAGTCTCAAGGCTTGGCTATCAAAGCAAGCTGGGGCTCTGAACGGCCCACCCACGTCGGCCACAAAGACGTAATCCCTACAGCAGCAGCAAAGAGTGTACTGAAATCAGCCGAAGAAAGCCCTGCAGCTGAGTCTTCGGGCCCTGAGCGGCTCTCGGCGACTGCACCTCGAGATGCAGGCACGACAAATCGAGCTTCGAACTAATTGGCGCCGGGATAAGGCTCGGGAGCCAGTGGCTTCCTGCTCTCAGCTTCTGAGGATCCTGCTTACGCTTCCGAACACAGGAACCCGAGGGCCACCCCGCAGGAGAGCTACCTGTGATTCGTCAAAATCAGGCGAGAACCTTCGGCAGCCACTACACGCCACAGACAAACCGCAACTCACTGCTGGCCTGGCTCATGCCCGGAGTCGTTAGCACGTGCACGGAGGATTGGACAGCACAGTAAAGTCGCTTGTAAGGCGAAAGGCACCTGGACAACGTGCGTTTGCGACATGCACATTCTGACTTGTTTGTCCACTCACTTCTGCGCGTTTGCATACGAGGCCGAGGTAGCTGCAAGGCACGAACTCCAATGATGGCACAGCTGGGCCCCTCCTCACGGCGCACATCGGAGGTGTGTAGGATTGCTGGAGCGCAAGCAGAACGATCGGCTCCAGAAGCCGACAGCGGGCTCGGAGTGTGAGCGAACCTTCGCATTTCAGAGCCGATCAAGCCAGCAAGGATGATGCTGTTGGGCACAAGCAGCATGATACTCAAACTGTGCTCCACATCGTTTCCGAGCGACGACAAGGATGCCATGTGCCCATCCCACCCGACACAGCTTTGGACACTTCAATCGCCCGATGCGCCTGGCACATAGGCCGTCACCACACCATCTCGGCCTCCGGCCCAAGGACTCCACACAGGATGCATGCATCAACACCAAGCTTGCTCAAACTCTTCCATAGGCCAAAAGGGGCAGCGTCCTCTCTTGTCAGGCGTCTGGCGTTCCCACCCCCCCCCCCATGGAATGGTCTGGTAGGGGTGAGGGGGGGCGGGGGGGCTGGCGTGTGCGGAGAGGGGTCGGGGCGGTGGGCCAGGGGTCACAGAGAGGGCCGGGATCTTACGCAAGCCCTACGCAAGCCATAAACCCTATAACGCGGGGCGTGTTCCTGTTCTTGTCAACCTTAACCTGTACAACCCTAAACCCCGCCGAAATCCAGGCTTCTAAGCTTGAAGCAGAACATAAGCCTCACCCTAACCAACCTACATCCCAAACCCTCCCGAAGCTCTTGTCGACTCCAAGCCTTATAACTTTTAAACTTGAACCCTAAACCCCAAACTCAACAGCTTAAGCTAAACCCTAGACCCCAAAACCCCACAACCACACCACAGGGGGAAGGGGGGGGGAGGGAGCACACACCCGCCACCACTAAACCTATCAGCCCCCCACGCGCCTGACGGCCATTGTCGTCAAGGCTTATGCGCTCTTTCTTTTCTTTCGCCAGGGCTAGGGTGTAGAGGGTAGCCCCCCTTTCTCTCACTCTCTCTCTTCTTCAACACAGGCCGGACACCCGTACCCCTCGCGCACGCATGCGCATTGGTAATTCCAGGTCTGCTTTTGAACAGGACACGATGAGGGCACGGTTCTTGACTGCAACATCTCCTCTTTACTGAATCCGAAAGCAAACCTTGACTCTATCTCTCTCTCGCTGTCGTGCAAAGCATGTTTTTAAGTAGTACTACTCGTCAGCAGCCCTTTGAGCTGGTCAATGTAATAGGCCCAAGCTGTCCTATCCCGAGCAGGCGGCTAGCGGGTGTAGGGAGCACCATAGGTCTGTATTGCCAAAATACTTGGAGTGTGCTTCAACCACCTCTGTTTCCGTGGGATGATGGTGGATATCATGATTTGGTGGGCCCTGGGTATAGGAGCATCTCTGAGAAGGACGTGCTGTCGTTGATAGGCTTGTGTCATCGGCACTTCTGTATCCGAGGGTGGCCGGGTCGTGGCTTATGCAATCGTCGATACGCGTGGGCAGGCGGTGGTCTAAATTCGAGATATGGGACAAGACCATCTGTTGAGATCTGTTGAGAAGGATCTAAAATGGCCTACGTTGTTTGGGACATGCTCATATACCAATTGGGTTGAGTTCTTAAAAGCCTTTGACAGCAAGAATGTCCCAGAGGACCTTGTCGCGGAGTTTGTCAGGTTTAGCGAGGTTCGACCGTGAAAAATAATTGTGGGTTTGAGCCGCGCTGCAGGATCGCCAGAACTATTTGAGAATGTACGAGCAGCTATCTTGTTAAGGTGATGGCTGGATGCTTATAGAAATCATGGCGACACTTCGCAGTATGGGACGCTTGCGAGTATCCATCTTGGAAGAATCCTCCACCAAAACTATACCAAGGAAATTTGCATGCGGTTTGGGGACACTACGTACTTCTTTGGACGAAGAGGGAGACTCTTTGGCCAAACAAAAATCGCTTTGGCATAGCTCGGAGTGTAGAGTCTGTTAGACCTGGTTACCTGTGTTGGTTGATGGCAGTGGGCATTTTTCGTGATTAGGTGCAGAACTTTGGGGCGGGGCCTGTATTCTTGCTGATAGCCGTTGTAGGTGTCCCAGAACAAGAGATATACTCATGATCTCGAACAGATATATGACTTGTCATCCACTACTCCAAGCGATGCACAAGCATGCAAGATACCTTCACCCGAAACACTCTCATGGAACGCGAATGTTAACTAAGGTATACGTACTCAAGAAAGGTTCGGAACGTCGCCTCCTAAATACACGGCATCTGCTCCAATGGCCAGCCGGGAAGCCCCGCCGAACCTGTCATAGAATCAGCACAGCCGCAAATCATGTCTACAAACGCTCACACCATGTAGACGCCAATGCAGCAACAGCACGCCATCCTGGGCTTGAATGAAAATTCAGATCTGCTCTCCGAAATCCGAGACAGCACATCCCAGAATCTTGCCAGCCGCACCCTCCCTCGAGGCCGGTCACAGCGTTGCTCAAACGATCCAGGTGAGACGCCACCAGGCGCTGCAGCAGAAGCAGGCACTGATAGCAATCCGAGCCCTTGTATAATTACTCATTCCTACAGTTGAGTGTGAGCTTCGGGTGAATTCGGATTTCATTGATTTCATCTAAGCACACCCCAGTTCCTGGTCTTGGTCAAGCACCGTGCCTTGGAGTGCTCAACGACAGACGGCTGATAAGTGCGCTGCAGCTGTAGCTCACACCTTCTTCTGCATGCGTCGGCGATGCAACAACTCCAGAATTCACATGCTTGCCGATTTGAGCATGTCTCTTCGTTGAGGCTTCTTTCGATCTTCAATGTCCCAGGCACGTTACTGCGTCATGGCGAAAGAGGTTCCCGTCCACGTCAGCACACACAACGAAGTCCATGCCTGGAGAAGCAATGCAGAACAGATTGCAGAGATGGACTGAGTTGAACCTGCCGCAACATCGGCGTAACCGGCTGCATCGCCTCATGGCAATCAGCACGTGCACCATGTCAGCTCAGGACTCACTAAATGAAAACCAGCGATGCAAGAGACTGGAAGTCACAGGCCGGCTGACATGTCAAACGAACTCGCCAGTGCTCATGGCTGAGCCGCTCGGCCTGTGTAGGCCGCAGAGGCTGTGAGCCGCCTCGAAGCCACAACAAGAGCAAATCTCATGGACGTGCTCCGCTGGAACTGGAAACCACAATCGAGCCATCATGTGTATGAACACATGCTTATTCGAGATGCATGGACTAAACTACCTAGATGGATCCGTTGCAGCGTGGTCACACTCACGGAAGCTCCAGATCGTGGTACCGCTTCATTCATGTTTAAACTGCTTGCCATATCTTACCAAGACATACCACTCCTCGGTCGTCCCTCCACTCATCTGTGCATGCACATGCATCCACACACAATGCACACACACACACACATGCTGGAAAGATCTGGAAAGCATCATGACTCGATGCAGTCATGTCATGCATACAAGGTACCAGCACTCCTCCTTACTTACAGACCTGAGCATGTAAGTACATGAAGACATGCGTGGAACGGCACGTGGAAACACCCACTTGACACGCCGACATGTAGACAAATGCATAGGTACATGGACACAAGTGAACGCCTCCGTCCATCCTTCCTTCCACCTGCCGTCCCCAGAACCTGTTGATGCATCCATGCACCGATCCGTGCGAACGTACCGATGTGGGTGACTTATGTGTGGTATTCAATGTGCTGCTGTGGCGGTTCGCACTTGTTTGGGGCTCGGAGGCAACCGGACGTTTTATGCAGCAAATCAGGTTGCTTGCCGAGAAAGTGCAAACTTTCTGCACGCCGTGTGTTTGCCGTGAACCCTGCCAAACAGACAATTGGACAAACGCGACCTCGACCAACATCATTAACACAGTGTTTGCACTGTGGTTATGTCACAGTGATGATGTGCAAAGCGATACCTTCAAAGTTCGTATGGAGACCGGGACATAACACTTCCCCAGCATGCGGCTCAAGACAAAAATGACTTCAGCCAGGATGCAGGTCTGGCAGGTCGAAGCGTCTCAGGCCACCTCGACTGCTCTGAAACAAAGCTCATCAGTGACGCAAAGCAGAACGAAGGTCATCTCGACCTTGGACTTTTCTGTGTTCGAGAATTGGAGCACCAGGAAGATTAGGTAGTCGTGTCTGAGAGGACGCCGACATGCTAGGAAACCGAGGAATCCTTGGAAGAAACCTCTTGTGGTCCACGAGCCCCAACTCTGCGCGGCAACAAGCTAGCGCCCCCTGTCGGGGCTCTAAGCTTCCTTTGAGCCCAGGGCTTGGTTCCAAAAATACTCCTGCCGCTCCAGCTCGAGTGTTTCAGCCATCTCATACTTACTCCCGAGGCTTTCTCCTGTGCAAGGGATGACAAGGGCCCGGCCGCTATCCACCACGAAAACAGCAGACCCATCCAAAGCCACCGAAATAGCGCTGGCGGAGGAGGCCTCCTGAGCCCAAGAAAGGCAAATTGGCCCAAGTCTCATGCACAGGGCCATGTCAAACCGCTTAACCCTTCTTGCCATTAGACGCAGCGTGTGTCCCGGCGTGTCTCTAACCGTGCTAGCTGGATCCCCAGATCTCTTGGTACGTCTCCATACCGGGTACAGGTGATGTCTGCACTGTTTGTCGAGTCTAACTTGTCTTCTGGATATCGCTTACAGACAATTCTTGCAGTCTTACGCAAGCTCATCCTGTCAACTCCCAGCCCACGTTGCGTATGCACCCCCCCACAACATGGCATGTTTTCTAGCCTCGTAAGCTTTATCCTTGCCACCTGGTAATTCAGGGCCATCCTTTGGCGCATGCTGCATCCCGACATCCGCTCTGGGCACTCTAGGCTCCTTTCAGGAGGTTCCAGATTAAAGCGTGTACGACATGCCAACAGAGAAGCGAAAACTTGCTTGATGGGCTACCTGCCACACTGAGATGTACAAAGCTGTTGCTTGCATTATGGGGAAGAGCATGCTTCGGAACTTCCGGATGCGTGCATCGTCAGTGAAGGTACCGCTGAGGGGGGTCCAGCAGTCTGAGACACGAGCCCAGAAATCGATGGGACTAGTGATGATCTCGTCTTGCTTGGCCGCCTTGAACCGCAGCTCCTCTGGAACGACCACAGTGTCGCAGTCACAGTTGCAGCCCTGCCACTGTCCTTTCGCGGCTGTTGTTCCTGCAGACAGAAAACACTTTCTTGCGCGACAAGCAGGAGCTTGGACCCGGTGCCAAAGGTTCTAGCCACAATACGGACAAGCCCGGACCCATTGTCTACTTGTCTCTCTGCTCAAGTGCACCTGCTGCGGGCTGGCGCCAGGTGAAGTCTCTGGCACAGCTCCTGAAAGCTCGTAGTCATAATAACGTAGGGCTACTGAGTTCATCTTAGCCTTGAAAAAGCACCGCCATAGCGGTTGAAGGCTTACTAGTATCCTGCGGTAGGTGTCGAGACATCAGCATTCTGACGAGCTCCTTCGTCCGGCATGGCTTTTTCGGCAGATCGAGGGACCTCGGTGGTCGAGCAAGCAGAGCCAAAAGGAAACACACGGCCCGTGCCTCTCCGCCACCGTATCCTTGTCGACCATAGGGGCTGTTTGCAGCCTAAGCATTTTGGAAAGAACTTCGACACTCCCGGAATGTTTTGTGCAAAACCCGAACTTTCCAAGGCCTTCTCACTCCAGTCGCTTCGAACCACCACCGGCCTGCCGTCAGAAATGCCCACCAGTGTAAGTACAAAAACAAGAATTGCAGGGTGACTGCAGGGTGCCTCTGCTCTTGCCGATGATAGCGGTGGTCGTCCGGCCACGCCTTCAGGAAGAAACTTGCTACTGCGCTCGTTTGCAAGCATGTTCGTAGGACGAGCTGGGCAGGCATGCAAACGCACTTTTGGAAAGCTTCATGACGCAGGGAGCTGACGATCGAGGAGCTTCCAGAAGCGGCACTTCATGGAGCTGTCATTATCAAGCGTGCCCCCTGTAGGCAAGTCAGTCTCCTTGCAGTGGAATGGTTGATAAAATAGCCACTAGCGTCCTCAGGAGCTGTCATGAAGCTTGCAAATGCTGGGAGTCTGAAGCACAGAGCATTAACAAGTTCTGCAGCTCTCAGAGCATGAGGAACGTTGTGGCACGACAGCGAAACCCGTATGCCTCAGCACCAACAGCAAACCAATCTCCAAGTCGCTCGTACTCAATAACAGGGCTGCAACATGGCCGAACGCTTGAAATGCGTCCAAGCATCTGCCACGTCGTTCATGGCCTGTGCATGGAACTGCAAAGGAAACACGAACATGCGAATGTGTGTGTGTGTGCCGTGCAGAAAGGGTCTCGATCCTGCTGAGTCATTCCGATGCCATCCGAGAGCGCAAACGACACCTTCGGGCGGACAAGCATGTTCTACGAAACGATACAGATGGACTTGTGCTTTGACATGGAAGGAGGTGATCACGGAGCAAAACAAGTCAGAGGAAAGGCCACCCGCAGGGGCCAAAAGGCTTGCCGAGCACTGGGACTAATGGGAGATGTGGGGCCACGAGCACGGAGCTGCAAGCGCTCAATGCAGGGACCGATCTGCAAGGTCGATGACAACGCCGGCAGCCGGAAGGACCGGCCCAGGAACATATGCCACTCGAATTCACTGCCGAGTGCTGGGAAACTGGCCAGGTTAACAAACCGAGACAGTCGACCATTTCGCAACGCGTGCCTTCTCCTCCGAGTGCTTCAGCGGCGCGGTGTAGTCAGTACGGGCTCCTCGTCCTTTTGGGGTCACGGCTGAGCCCTTTCTCAACTTGGCCGATTCAAAGCATTAACACATGTTGGCACTGCAGCAGACTGCATTGCAGATCATACCACTGCTGGAATCCGCATCAGCTAATGCCAACCAGCGCTCGACTGATATACGAAAGGTCATGTAATGTGATGGAAGCGCCTGCATTGAGCGTTGCTGCCAGAGCCTCTCCCAGCCTGGAGAAGCACGTTGACATGATCGCATAATCGCTGCAGAAAAGATTTCCTATCCAAAAAAGTTTTTCTAGACCTTCCAGCCAAGCGTCTTTGAGACCTCCTCCGTTGATATAACGGAATTGTCGCCACGATTGAGGAAGTTTGAAAGCTCCTCGGCGCGAACCAGCTCTCCGAACCTGACGCATCTGCTGGAGCACTCGCTTGCAAGAGCGAGACCGCATGCGTGCCGACTGTCAACAACTTCAGCAAGTTTTGATGGAAGGCTATTTGCACAGGTCTGCTCGTTCCACCGAGCCGAATCCACCGGCCTGTACGGATCTTCAACCGAGGCTACCAGCTGCGTCTGCGCGAGCAGCTGCTTCAGCCTGCCAGCATTCACTGGCATTGACGGACCATTCACAGCCCCCTGCGGTGCTACTGTACTTAGCTCTACGATTCTTCCTTGCAGTGAGTCCGTCCCAGATATCAACAGGTGAGTGGAACACAAATCTGGCGTGTCCGTAAGGCCAACCGAAATGTTGGCTACATCGTGTTTCGCTCGCAATGAAGCATTGATTTCAAGAAACATGATCTCCTTGTGCTGTGTGACCTTTCTTGCGAGATTGTGCGGCGTGTTTCGCTGCTGGCGCACCGTCGTGTCACAAATGAATCGAAAAAATGCGTAGAATGCTTCTATGCCTGGCAGGACTCGCTTCAACACTCCGATGTGCAGAACAGGGGCGTAGCGTATCTCTCTTCCAAGAACTGCGGAACACATGGCACCTGCGGCAGCAGCCGAATATTAAACATTGGCGTTCGGTCTCAACTGTTGCTTTGCCGCATCTGACTCAGTCCCCAAATCCTGCCACAGCATCAAATTATGCAAGCATGCTGGGTTTGAAGCGAAGCAAAGCAGCTCACACCGCTTGCCACTTGCTCGGTAAGCGGTCGCTAACTCGAAACGAGGTTCCACACGCATGGGAAAACCTGCACATCTTCTCAAATCAGGCGAGGCACCCTGTCGCTCCTGACAGGCCGTGATTTTTGAACCGATGCTCATGATCATTCAACCACGAGCTCAGGCTAGCCGGTGCTGGCACAGGCTGATTCACAAGATGCCACCTGGAAAAAGCAATTGTCTGCGCTTCCGTCATTGGCAAGCGCCTTGGACAGAGTACTCTGAGAGGCACCACTGCGACGAAACGCACCAGTCGGGCAGCGACAATGTGTTGCCAGGTGACGCACGGCGGTGTGTGCCGCCGATTTTGTGGCCGTTGGTGTGCTGAAAATACTTCGGGTACTCCTTGCAGCTTTAGCAACATGAACGAGATACTGCGACATTTGCGGCAGCACTACCAGGCACTATCATCGGCCGTCAGCACACGAGCACCAAATCCCTTCTCTAGGCAAGCATCACTTGCAGCCATCGCAGCACGCATGAAGCCCTCATCTGGCTTGTGCTTGTTCAGGCCGAGCATACCTCCCATCACTGATCTGCTCAGGTCCTGAAGATGCGTCGGTTGACTCTTTCTGACTCTCTTTCCATGCCGCCGTGTCCTTCAAATCGAAACCAGACTCCAAACCTTCCGGTTTCACAACGTCCCGCAGCTGATCTGGACTTTTCCTGGCTGGGAAATCCAACGAAGGGCTCATACGATGCACTTGCGGGCCAATGACGATGATAATAGCGATCGTGCGAGACCAAGCGTCCAGCCGTCTGACCAACCAGCGGCCTGATTCAAACACCGGAGATCTGTACCGACAAAAACCCATACACATTAGGCCTGTAGGCTGCATCCCTGGGTGCCGAGCCGTTTTCATGGCGGCGCCCACTCCCGGCATGGTGCAATCTTTGGCGCGGCTCAGGCGGATCCATCCATGGCCGCGCTGCCAATCCGGGGCAGTAGAAGCGACAGCTAAGGGAAATAAAGGGGGGGTGCGTGTCCGTCAGTTTACACCAGGCTCCTGACGATAAAAAAAAACATGAACTGTGGCAATCTTCGCATCTTCTCATCTTTGACGTGTGCAAGCAGTACGCTAACAAGTGCGAATCTGAATATGAGACCCTCAAGCTGCACAGGACCCGCAGAGAAGCTTGGAGACATTGATGCAACTTCTGCATTTCAAAGCCATGGCAGCAGTTTACAGATCGCCACAAGGGTCCGGACTTCTCGCGGTGCAGGTCGTTGTCCATAGGGCGGCGTTACGTGGTGTCGGCGATTCTGTCGAGAGTTCCAAGCTCCGTCTCGCAACCGCAGCTTACGTTGCTCTGACTCTTTGGCCAGACTCGTGCATGCCTCAAACTCCTCGTCTACAGCCGCAACGTAGCCGTCTAACCTAGGCAGGGGTGTCACAATCTTTGTGAATTTTCCCCGAAACTCCGAGAGGCAGACATGTACATGTGTTCACGGCCACCAACGTAGTGCTGTCTCTCCTGGCGCGCCACGGCATTGGCAGACCACAGCAAAGGCTCGAGTAGACTGGGTCCTGTAGGTGCTCTCGATTCTCCGACCTGCCATTTGGGACACGGGAAGGTATCCGACATGTCTTCTCCTCTCCCGGCGGTCCTTCGCGCCAGTCGTCGTGGCGATGGTACCCCGAAGTCGAGACGCCAGGCGCGGCTCAGCACCGCTATCTGCCACGACACAAAGTGTCACGACCACAAGTCATGTTACTGCACTCGCATGCCGTACATTGTCGAAGCTTGTCCCATGCTGCACACATGGCTGGGACCTCGTTGGGGCTGCAGTTCTCGATCATGTCTGCATTCAGCTGCGGCTCACCGCAGATGATCTCCTCAAGGATGCAAGAGAGCTTTTGTTGCTCTTCATGCAACATTCACTGCATTCGCACAGCAGAAAAAACCTTTTTGGGACCGCCTGTGTCCAGGGTACTGTCCACGTGCTGCTGGAGAACAGCCCGAAGCCGCTCGTAGCTTGCAAAGAACACGGAGCTGACACAGAACCACCAAGCACTCCGCGGAGCGGCTCCGCGAAAGTGCCCGGCGAGCCCGTTTGTGCCTTTCACGGCCTCCTGGAAGGAGAGGGAAGTCTTAGAAGTCATGATCCGCGTCTTGATGACGTCGAAGGGAGTCGTCAACCAAGCTGCCAAAGTACCAGAGACGCCCCCCCAAAGCACCTCGGTGCTTTTGGGCCCCTATCAGTTGCTAAAGCTGCTCGGCCACCTGCTTCAAAAGAATGAACCAAAAGACCCACCTGATTTTACCACGTCACGGTCTCTGCATCTGACCACGGAGCGAAAATCTCAGCTGGGCCCTGCTGCGAGAAGGTCAAGCGAATCTTCCAGGACTTGAACTGCTCGTAGGAAAGGAAGAGAAGCAGCATAAAAGGAGTGTCACGCGAGGCAGTAGAAGCATACCCCCGAAAAAATCCTGTGAGGCCATCCTCCCGGAAGATACTGTGCACTGCTTTCCAGCTGGACTTGTACTGACCTGTTTGCATTCGTTGCGTTATCAGTTCCCGAGGCACTTTGACCACACTGCTTGCAAAGTCGGCCGCTACAGCAGAGACCGCTATCCCAAACGGTCTGAAATAAAACTTGTCCAACAGTGTCTCCTTGCAGGCTTCGTAGCTGGCCATGCGTATGGCGCCTTGTGGACATGCCCAGGCAAGGCTGAGAAGGAAACCGCGAGTTAGGCCACGCCACCCGAGACTGTGCAGCGAGTGAGAGAAACCTCCGCTAGAGGCCTCAGGAGATCAGAACCAGTCAACAATATGCCACGCAAAACTTCCCTGGAGGGTCTTTTCTCACGATACGACAGGGCGCTTAACAACATTCGACACAAGACCGAATTTCTGACAAGCAACAGCAGCTTGCATGGTGGTCCGAACCGTGTCCAGTGGGTGCACAATGCCAACGGCGAAGGGCAAAGCAATGCCTCCCGCACCTTCAACAGCGCTTTCTGAAACCGGAGACACAAACAACCCAGCTAGGGTTCGTGGCTTAGGGTTCCGGAACCCAATCAGTCCGAAGAGTCCAGAATCTGTCTTAAGCCAACAGACTCCTGCGCTGAACAACTTCAGAAACAGTGGCATTCTCGCGCCTGCTGTGGCTGCCACATGGAAATGCGGCAAAGCCGCGTCTCGGCGGTATATGTCAGCCGATTGGGCCGGTACATAAGGGAGCCCATGAACCACACTTTCAATGTCAGATACTTCTTGTTCAAGGTTCCGAATCTGCTGCCGCAACACAGACAGTCTTTGCAGCAGAAACTGTCGATTCTCGTGCCTTTGCACAAGAGTGTCAACGCTTCTCGAGTCAGAGTGGCAGCTGTAGCCTTGACTTTCTGACGGCATGCCCTCGGAAGACTTCGACTGCTGTCCAATGCCAGAGGCAGGTTTGTCAGACTCCGTCAACATGCGCATCAGTAAATGAGTACAAGCTGCCTCGAGCCAGACGTGATCCAGGCGTCTTTCGCTGACTATGACTTACGATCCGCCAAGCTCACATCAGCTCACACAATGCAAAGCAACGCAAAGCCGACAGATAATCCCGAGCGTTCCAGAATCTCAGCCACGGGCAGCAAACATTTGCATTTCCCATCGGTTCCTCCGAATGCTGACGGGCAGACTGTGTGAGGAAGTTCTGGCTAGTGTGACCACCCATGTTTCGAAAACACTTATAAGTTGCAGCTTCTGGTTTCTGCCAAGTCTGTTCAATCTGGCACATGGGTGCAATCCCTGTCTCTTCAACAGAACCTCTGCCGAACCGCCCACAACGATCAGCGCGTGCTAAGTCTCCCAAGCAGCTGTCAAACGGAAGTCACGTCACAAGAAGTTTCATCAGTTATCAAGCCTGGTAAACCTGAAGACCTGAGCTTGAATTCGCGGAAGACGTTGTGCAATTGTAAATCTGGTGGTAGTTTCAGCAGAAAACCTGCAAGGAGATGCTAGTGCTTGAGCATGTGCCCGGCTCCTTCGAGCTGCTCGGACCAAGCCCTGACGAGCATCGCCACCGATTTGAGCTTGTCGACCTCAGCAACACCATTGACTACAAGAAAGATTCGAAAACTCACACAAATGCACTGCTACGCCTCGCAGCCTACAGCATTGCAAACCACAACGCAGCATCCAAGCGGCTTATCCAGTCGATCAAATCGCTGGCCATGGGATCTTGTGCAAGTGTAAAACTTCTGAGGTAATGTGCAGCTTCTTGCAGTTTGCTGTAAACTCAAACAACCACTGAGAAATATGAATTCAAACCTTGTTCCTGCCATGCAACATTTCTTCACTTTCAACATTCTGAAAGCATTTGTGACATGATGAAAAACCTGGGCACAGTTGACTGTCACCTGGCTGACCCAAGATTGCAGACCTCTGGACGATGCAAATCGAAGCCGGCAAGCAATGGCAATGCTGCACATCCGCAAACTCTTACCTTAAACTAACAACTGCACATGTGTGCAATGATGAACGACGCAAATGTCGATTTTTCGTTGCTAAGCAACGAAAAAATTACCCAACGAGTTGGAACGCTGGCTGATCCACTTTTTTTTGGCGTGATCAGGCCTCGTTGACGGCGGTTGCCGCACTCGGTCCTGATGGAATCAACAAAAAGTGACAAGAAACAAAAAGACAACTAATAATCGGTGAAACGTGCTGCGACCAACAGGCTAAGCCGTAAATAATTACTGGCTCGTATCAACAATCCTCTCTCAGATGCTCCGCTTCCCAGATTTCAGGGTCACGCAATGGCAAGCACATCGCTCCGCTTCCTGTAAAGCATGGGTCGCGCAATGGCACATAGCGGCACATCATGGCAGAATGTCCGTGCAATGTCAAAGCGGCAACAAGGCTCACCAGTCTTGGAAATACCAGAGGAGAGCAGAGCATAGGATGCCGTCCAAGTGAAGCACACGAGAGGCAGTCGAAATGAGCCGGCGTCCAGTGTGAATCTCCAATTCACGTAGAACACTGCTGATCCGTCTTCTGTCAGTGACTGCACGTGTCGGTTTTTATGGGTGCGCGGAGTGTCTGTCTAACATGCAGACTGACAAGAATCATGACTTGATGATCCAAGTAAACACATGTATAAGAAAAAAAATTTCCATATGTAGAATCTTTTAAGGGCTTAAGTTCCAATCTCCATTGCAAAAAATGCAAAATGCTCCAAAATGCCAAAGTGACAAAGTGCGGGCAGAGTCGCCGCCTTTCATCAAGCCCTTGAACTTGAAGCTTTCTTCTCTTCGAAACCCCACTCCTTCAAGTCCGGGCGTTCAAAGCCATAAAACAAATACAAGCAATGAACACCTACGAAATCGCTTCTGGTGAAAAACGATCTTCTAGAATCTTGAAGCTCTTTTCATTCTTTCTTCTATCACAGTTCGGAGTCTTTGTACCTTCGCTGGATCACGCTCTTTGGCTATAAGCCGGAAAACTTTAGTTGTAGAAACATCTCAAGGTGGAAAACTGCGCTCTAGAACCTTTCTTGAACTTCTCTCAATCCTAGAATGGAACAAAAACTCTTTAATGAGTTTATGTGATAGTCTTGTTGACTTGCTCAGTCTGTTTCTTGTCTTGACGCCTTATCTTCGGTTTTCTCAGCCTTCTTTTGATGCTAGTGAGTTGGCGATCGCGTGTCTCGAATGACACTGTAATGCTTGATACTATCCGATAACACTTGGAATGCTTGGGCACGACACTGCATTGGATGACACTGGAATGCTGGGGCACGACACTGCATTGGATGACACTGGAATGCTTGGCATGACACTGCGCGGATTGCAGCCAAACTTCCGCTCTCAGGCTGATTTCTTGTGAGATCGATGCCAACAGGGCGGAAGACGCGTGCTTGCAGCAGCACTTGCGGGGGAAGCAACATCACCGATCCGCCTCAACCTGCCGCACACGTGCCTTGTCCCCATTGGATCCAATAGTGACACGGTCTCTCTCAGTTTCACGTGAAGGTTTGCGATTTGCATCATGCCAATCTTCTGTGGTCAGTTTGTTGCAGCAAGTGGCGGGCTTAGATCGACCGATCTGGGTCGTTCTCTAGACAGTTCATGTACTCTAGTCAACTGCAGTCCTAGGCATGCAACACAGAAGCGCTCTCTTCTTTTCCACGGGTGCTGCTCAGGGTTCAGGAGTCCGGTCGCATTGTGAGACGTAGACAGGCGGAGGCGTAGCAAGGCGTGCTGAATATAGGCTAACATTCAGGCGGAAAGGTAGGCTTGCATCACACGGGCGGGTGGGTGCGGTGTGTGAAAAAGCTGCGCATGTGGGTCTGCAGCCGAAAGATCTACATGAACGGTTGTTG